GAGCTGCCTGTGCTACGGCCGCTCCCTGCAGGGCGAGTTCGTGCACGACGACGTGTGGGCGATCCTCCACAACCCCGACGTGCAGCCCGACGCCCCGTTCGGCTGGGGCATCTTCGCCAACGATTTCTGGGGCAAGGGCATGGCCGAGAACACCAGTCACAAGTCCTACCGGCCGCTCTGCGTGCTCACCTTTAAGTGAGTGCCTGCCTGGGATTGCCGCCCTGGTTTGGGAGAAGTTGCGGGTCTGACAGCGGGAGGGGGCCGTTTCTGTGTCTCTGTTGCCCCTCGCCCCCAAGCCTCTCTCCCTCCGGGGCTGCCCATGCTGTGCTCTGCCCCGTCCTGTGCCCAGCTTCCCTGCGCTCCTGGGCGGTTTGCGTGGCGCGGGCTGAGGAGTTGGGATTGAGTTGAAGCAGCTGAGGTCGTGGCCCGGGTTTCTTTCTGAGCAGGGCTGGAGAGGCCGCCTGCGCACCCCCCTGCCGGAGGGCAGCCAAGTGGGACCATGCAGGCCCAGCGAGCTCCGAGGTGGAGGTGATGGCGAGGTGGCTTCCAAGTTGGGAATGTTTCGGTGGCTTTTTGGACAGTTTTGCACATCGGGAGCCTATCAGTTCCTCTAGGGTAACGTCGCAATGAACGGAGGCAGGGGATCTGAGCTCCCTGGGGCGTGTGTGGGTTTGGGGGGTAGTAGAGGTGGCTGGAGTCAGTCAAGCCCCCCCTTTCCCCCAACAGGCGCCTGTGGTTACTCAGGGCTCCTATCCATTCGGGCCCCCACCGCCGGGCTTCGAGCCTTAAAAAGGTGCCAAGCAAATGAACGCCAAAGCGTGGAATCCTCCGGGGATCTTGGCGTCCCAGCTGAAGTAGTTTTCTTTAATAACCTCAGAGTCATAATGCAGCATATCTGGTGTGAATAAAATGTTAGGGGGACCCAGGGTGCGGCAGGGTTTTGTATGCTGGACTATTTTCTTGAATTTAAAGGAGGGTGAGCCGCCGACGCTAAGGGCGAAGAGCTGATTTTGAGGCAAGTGCCTTTTCACTCGCTGTGAGCTTAACTCAGCCTTTTATCGTTTGGCTCCGAATCGAAGCCTAAGTCAGTGTGCCTGGCAAAACGACTGAACTCATTTGGGTTCGTATCATCAGCGTCTTAAAGTACTTTCCAATGCGTGTAATCAGAACCTGTCGATAATAGTCATTGGAGACTGGGTAGGCTGCTTGGAAAGGCAGCCCCGGGCCAGGAGACAGCGATCTCTTGACTACTGCTCCGATGACTTCTGCGAACAGTAGGAACTGAGAACACTGCGTAGGAACTGAGAACACTGCGTAGCCCTTCGACATATTTTTTGCACAGAAAGTTTAAGGCTTTAAGGAGGGAGGGGAGATTGCATATTTCATTCCAAAAAAACTCCCCAGCAACCCTTTTCCCACTTTCAAAAGTTGGCCACGGGGTGGGGTGAGCTGACAGGTAAATTTGGCTAATGAATTGCTTCGCCTTGAATTTCCCAGATGTTTCTTAAAATTCCCTTCAGTGGCTCATATGTAAATGTTTAACTTCTAGAATGACCTTTTCCATTTATTACAAGAGGGTTATTGGTTGATTTGAGTGAGGGGGTGGGGCCCTGAAGGCCAGGGGGATTATCCAGGATCCTGCCAGGAGGAGAGCCCCTTTCAAAAGATCAAGGCCAATACCTGTGCTCCTTTGTTGGAGAGTGAGGAAGAGGGTTTACCTTTCTCTACTTCCTAAAGTTCCTTTATTTATGCAGGCGAGGAAGAGGTCATCAAAGAAAGAGGTGGAGGGAGGGAAGAGGGGAGGAGAAAATGAGCACAGGTTTGCAGAACAAGGAACCAAGCTGTGGTTAAATGTTCAGCGAGGTCAGGAGTTCAAATCCACTGCTGCTCCACAGGAGAGTGACAGTCTGCCTTGGAAACCTTATGGAGTAGTTCTCTGCCCAAAGGAGACCCTGTGAGCCAGAACTGAAGGCAGTGGTGGTGGTGGTGGTGGTGGTTGTGTGTGTGTGTTGCAGAATAGGAGCTGAGGAGAAGGAGGTTGAGGGGAGAAACCCTTCACTAGTAGTAATCTGATTCTGAAAAGCAGCTTTGATGTCTAAGATGCACTGCTCTTCCTATCGTGTATCTCATTGCATAGATAAGATACACCTGTGCCCGCCCCGTCCCTACCCCTTTTGAAAAGACCGAGAGCCCTGGTCGTGGTATAGAGTTGGGCTGTGATCTGCGTGGTCCCAAAGACTGGGCTTTCTACTCCTGTAAACAATTAGCAGTCTTGGAAACCCACAGGGGAGGTGCCATGAGTCAGCACCAACCCAGTGACAGTGAGAAAGAGACTTAAAATCTAGAGAGCAACCCCAAACTAACTGCAAATGAGGGAGCAAGCCTAACCTCTCTGTGCTCGGATGTGTTGATTTAATAAGACTGGGACTTTCACTACAATCATCACCTGGAGTAAAACGACCTCTTCTGGGGCAATATCATGAAGCTGGGCCTGTAAACAGCTGATATTGATGGAGCTAGATCCATACACCTCTAAAGATGGGGACACACAGAAAACCACATTAAATATTCCACAAGAAGCAAGCATTAGCCTGTACCTTTATGATTTTTATTTAGACATTGGAAAATACAAGTTCTAGGGGACCTTTACATATTTAAGGAGGCCAAGTGGTACTGTCAAGTAAGCCTTGGGATGTGAAGTGCAAGGTCCGCAGTTCAAACCTAAGAGCCACTCTGTGGAAGAAAGTTGAAGCTGTCTGCTTCTGTAAAGATTTATAGCCTTGGGAATCCCTTTTGGGTTGGAATACACTCAGTGGCAGTAGGTTGGTTTTGGGGGCATTATGGGATAAACATTGGGCTGCTAATTGCAAGGTTGGTGGTCAACCCCACCAGCTGCTCTGTGGGAGAAGGATTTATAGTTTCGGAAACCCTCAGTAGCAGTTCCGCTTTTCCCTGTGAGGCTGTGAGGCCTGGTCTTTAAACATTTACATTGTGGAAACTTTAACGAAGAGTTATGCTCTGCCCTCTATGGTCACCTTGAGTTAGAATTGGCTTGATGGCAGTAGGTTTGGGTTTGGGGTTTGGTGGCAAAATAATTAACTGCTCAACTACTAACTGACAGGCTGGTGGTTTGAACCCACCACTGGGTTTTGATCTGGGTTACATACTTCACTATATAAATTATGTGACTGTTACAGACACTGCCAGTAAGTCTATTCTGACTCACAGTGACCCTCGATCAGTTTTCCCAGACTGTAAATCTTTATGGTAACAACAGCCTCATCTTTCTTCCACAGAGTGGCAGGTTTGTTTGAACCACTGACCTTGCAGTTAGCCATCAGAGGTCCATCCAGAATGCTGCCAGGGCTCCTTTAGCCAAATATATATACAACTCATACTTGTTGGAGCAAAGTTCTTTGAGACTTTGAATCCAGTGTTTGTTTTTTTTCTAAGTTTCATTTTGAGATGCTTGTATCTTCTCATATGGTTGAAAGAAATAATGGAGATCTTTAACACCTCTCCAGGGTGACTATCACAACCAGAAAATTGACACTGTTACAGTGCACACACCATATTCCGATTTGATCCATGCTCCATCATTCTTTTGGTTATGTAGCGCTGTGCAGTTTTATGACATGCATTGCTGTTTGCGCCCACCACGACGGGACAGCACAGTTCCTTCACCAGGTCCCCTCATGCTACCCTAGTGCAACCTCTCCCCCGGGTCCCTCGCAACCACCAGGATGAGCGCTCTCATGTTATAATTTGAAGACTGTTTCATATGGGGAAGCATGCCCGTATAACCTGTTGATACTGGATTGCTCACTCCGTTTGTTTGGAGAATCTATAATTCATCCATTTTATTACTGAGTAGTATTCCATGGAGCGATGCACCGAAGCTTGAGTAATGACTGACTCATGTCAGGACATCTGGGTTGTTTCCCCACGGACTTTGGTGACACAGTGGGTGAGCATTCAGTTGGAGTCTACTAGGAGCTCTACCAAAGACCCAAGTGGCTGTCTGCTTTCATCAGAATGTTCAGCCTTGGAAACTCGATGGGCCCGTTCTCCTTTGTCCTATCGGGTTGCTGTGATTTGAAATCAACTCAGTAGCATTCAGTTTGGTTTTGGTTTGGGTTATGTCTATTTTTTTTTAGCTATTACAAATAATGCTGCTATAAACAGACATGAACAGATTTTATGTGAACAAAAGTTTTATTTCTCTGGGATAAATGCCCACGTCATATTGCTAGATCATATGGTAGGTGAATGTTTAGATTTTTAAGAAACTGCTAAACTCTTTTCCAGCTATCTCACGAGCCATGGGTGAGTGCTCCCATTTCTCTGCATCCTTACAGCATTTGATAGTGTCGCCGTTCTTTGTCGTCTTAATTTGAATTTCCTGCACAGCTAATGATGTTGAACATCGTTTCATGTACTCATTTCTATTGCCCTCTGCACATCTATCATCTCTGGTGCAATGTCCCTTAGTGTCTGTTGTTTGTTTTTCAATTTTTTTTTAGCTGTTGGATTTTAAGTAAGAATTATCAGGATGCAAGTTCTTTTTCAGATATAATACGACTGGCAAATAATTTCTCCCACTCGGTAACTTGTCTTTTCATAAGGCTTACAGGGTGTTTGCAGTACAAAAGGCACACCCTTTTTTTTTTAATCACTGAAAGTAAATGGTCTTGGAGTCGTTGAATGAGTGTCACATACACTGAGGATGAAGAACTTTCTTAAAAATGAAAATAATTGACTAGTGCACAGTGCTTGTCGCATGTATAGAAAGGGATTCACCATTATTTTAATCAAATAATAAATGGTTTAAAGTTGAAATGAGGAAATGGATTATGAGAGCATCTAATGAGGGCAGCTGGCTAGGGACATGACAGCGTTTCAACAGTGCCAATTTAGCGGCATTTGGTGGCAATGGTTTGCTTCTTAGGAATGTCTTCCCTGTATGCATCTAGGTGAGGATTGGCAACAAGAAGAATTTCTGTAAGATTTGGAATTGAAGTGGCCACATTCTCACTCAGAAGACTCGTGTTGATTTGGGGGTTGTCGCAGCTTAGCTCTGGCAGGCTGTCACAGCAGTACTGGCTCTCCTGCCATGCGTGTAGCGCCGGCCAGGCTGCCAGCGAGTCCAGCACTCTCCAGCCTGCCTCCTTCCACAGCTTGGAATCAGGGTGCAG